GAATTTCTTGTTGGGGTGATGAAAACATTCTAACTTGGTTGTGGTAGTGATTGCACAACTTTGCAAACATACTTCTGGAATTGTAAAAAAAGGAAAAGAAAAAAGATAATAGCAACTGTGACTCCAGGAGGAAGGGGGTCCCATGCCTGGGGCAAGTTCATTATGAATCTGATAAAACCTAAGGAAGGCAAGGGAAAGGGTAGGTTGGGGGAAGGGCTTTATTGCTTACAGCTCAGTCTCTCACTTGGAGTTTTCTGCCCCCTCCCGTTTGACTCCTCTAGCAAGCACCCAGTCCTCCTGTCCCTGCTGCTGCAGTGCACACTCTCTTCCCTTACCTGCCCCTTCCAGGAGGAACTCCATGGTTGGGTCCCTGATGACTGGAAGGCACCAGACTAATTACATACCAGGAACAGAGGGGAGGGGAGAATGGCTGTTTTCTTTCCACCACTGGCCACCATGGCAGCTCTGCTGTGGCCCATTGATATGGAAACAGTCCCTCATCCACACACCATCAAAACCAGGCAGGAAATTCTGAGTGAAAATTTCCATTTACCCCACAACCCACCTGTGCAGAATTCTCACCTTACAATCTACATATCCCCCAATCTTCTGCAATGGCCCTTATGCAAGAAAGCTAGAACACTGTAACCATATTAATAACATATAATAACAACAGAAATTATGATACAGACAGCAGTTAAATCATGACAATCCTCAAACCTAAGGATACAGCTGAGTCCAAAGTCCTACTCAGATTAAGTCCATCGTTCACACTTTCCATAAGAGGCCAGCAGCTGAACTGGCAGGGGACTCTGGGCATACTCAGCAAGTGGCAGCTGCGGCTAGGGGTGCGCCCAATCCACAAAGATGAAACTAGAATAGAATAACTTTAAGGGTTATAAGATAAATGTTTTAATGACACCAACATAGGTAAATCTTGTCCATCAGGTAGGATGCATGTAAGAGTGTCCTGTGATAGGACAGTAGAAGGAATGGGGTCCCGTCCTGGTCTAGCATACCATACCTTCACCCCTCTCCCTGTGGGAGTTATGGATGGGTCGATATGTAGAGCTATGGGAGTTACATGCACTGGCCATAATGACAAAACAAAACTCCCCTGTAAGATGCTCTTATCTTCTGACTGTTTTGGGTATACTATCATGATCTTTGGGGGCCACTCTGCTGTTACTCTGAGAACACACAGGAGGCCAGCTTCCAGGCCTTGTCCCTAAAGCTCCAGAAGGGTCAGCCATCACTGGTCCATGTGTCAAAATGTTCAGAGCCACATCCATTCAACAGAACCTACAAGGTTTAGTGCAGTTGCTGGCAGCAAGTTGTTCTGCTGGCCAAATCCTGGCTTCAATAATTTCTCCTTGTGCTTGTACAATTGTACAGGAGAGGCATCAATGTGTGTTAGCATGTCCATGGGGCTCAATACCTCCTTCTGGGGCTTCTCATTCATACACTGTAGCACTTCTGTAAGTGGACTGACCAGCCCCGTAGACTATTGGTGTCTGACTTCAGGTTAGATTTTAACAAACCATTGTACCTCTCTATCTTGCCTGCCATGGTAGGGTTATATGGTACATGAAACTTCCACCTTATCCCTGATTGTTGTATCCATTCTTGTAACACATGTCCAGTAAAGTGGGTGCCTTAATCACTCTCAATCACCTGTGGCTGGCCATAGGCTGCAAAGAGATGCTTTAGACGCCTTTTGGTCATTTGTTGATCTGCACGATGTGCAGGAAAAGTAACCAACAGTCCAGTAGCTGTCATGGCATACCAATACCCTTCTGACATGAGCCGAGGCCCAATATAGTCTATCTGCCACCTGACAAGGGGTATCGGCCCCTTAACTATTGTCCCATGTTGCTGCAGGACTCTGTGTAAATCCCTCTTAGAGCACACAAAGCATTCCTGCTGGGCTCTGCTGACTTCTTCAAAGGTCAAATGCAATGGACTACAGCCCTACGTTGTCTTTCGCCCCACTGATGGACTACAGCCTACATTGTCTTTTGCCCCTGTGCAACAAATGGTATAACCATTGGGCCACATCAGAGGCAGGCTTTCCTTCTAGCCAATGTACCTGGGTGAATGTGTCTGCTTCATCATTCCCTGAGGATGCCAAAGGCAAATGGCTGGTCACATGCTATACTGTAACTGTTTTAGTCTGACCAGAGAGGCTCACAGGTCTTGCCACAACTCTTGCCCCCAAAGGAGCTGTTGACCAACCATCCAGTTGGCATGGTAACATGTCGATATACACAGGGTCAAGCCCTGATAGATCGCCCAGTTGTCTGTGCAGACTATTGGGGAGGGCTCCTGGGTGATCATGAGCCATACTGCCCGCAACTCTGCCCATGGACTGCTCTTTCCTTCCCCATCCTCCATCCATATGGTCTCAGTTTTTTTAATAGCTTTCTTTCCTCCTTTATAGCATCTCACAACTTGTGTTCCTGTTCTGCCACTTCCTGCCAAAGCACATCTCTCTCCTGGGTAATTCTTTCCATTGCTGCAAGAAACACCCAACCCACAGTTTCCACCACCACATGTGCACTCAGTTGCCCTAAGGAGTTCCCTATTTTGTGGAGGACCAACTCTACTGCCTCTGGTGCCCCACCCTTCCCCAGTTCTGGGAAAGGGACCACTCCTTTAGGAGGAAAATCTCCCTGGACCAAATCCCCACTGGGGGATCTTTGGGTGAATCCCCACCATCCATGGGGGTTCCCTAGGTGATCCCTGCCACCCATGGGAGTGTCCCTGGGTGTCTCCCCACTATTCACAGAGGGGTCCAAGGGAATTTCCCCACCATCTATAGGGGCAGCCCCCTGAAACATCACACCCATGAGGACAGTTTTCAGGTTCACTGGACCCTGCTGACTCTCATTAAAATGTGGCTCCAGGAGAAAGGAGGTTCCCCACCTGGGGCAAGTTCCTAATGAATCTGATGATGGAAGGAAGACAAGGGAAATGGCAGGTTGGGGGAAAGAGTTTTATTGCTCACAGCTCAGTCTCTTGCCTGGCGTTTTCTGCCCCCTCCCACTTGGTTCCACAGCAAGCCCCCAAACCCCCATACCTGCTGCCACAGCACACGCTCTCTTCCCCTGCTGCCCCTTCCAGGAGGAACTCCATAGGTGGGTCCCTGGTGACTGGCAGGTACCAGACCAATTATGTACGAGAAAGAGGGGAGGAGAGAATGGCCAGTTTTCTTTCACCCCTTGCTCTGCAGCGGCTCTGCCATGGCCCATTGATATGGGAACATGTCCTCATTTGCACACCACTATCAAAGCCAGATGGGAAAATCTGGGTGAAAACTTTCATTTACCCCACAGAAACCATTGCAAGAATTGAAAAAGTTGTATTTGATAAATCTCATGGCTGCATTTCATTTGTCATAAGTCCAAACTCACAACCAATAGTAAGTAGGAGTTGAATCCTGAAAGGGTGGTGAAATTTGAACTTGTGGTGAAAAAAACTGAACTCAATATCTGATGCAAAAAAAATGATGAATTTCTCATCTGCCTACAAAGGATAGCTGTAATGCACAGTGTCCCCGAACAAAGCCAGAACTGATCTTATATAGTGTTTTGGGAAGTCTACCATTCAGGGATTGTCAGTATTTCAAAATTCAGATCATCCAGCGATTGACAGACTCCAGCTTTGTTAGCTGGTCACTGTTGTGAGACAGCAGAGGATTGCCTACCTTTCAGAAACCTGGTCCTGGTAGTGAGGCACTTTCTGATAGGTTGTCTTGAAGCCTGGAACCGTCAATAACTGGCTGACTTTAAGAAGCTTGGGGCAGTCATTAATTTACTTACTTTCAGAAACATAGATACTGGAGTGAAGCTTTTGTTGACTGGCTCATTTTCTGAATCAAAGCCCCTGGAGTGAGGCTGTTGCTGAATGACTGATTTTCAGAGCCTGTGGACTGATGAGAAGTTATCTCCAAATGATGGGTGCTTGTTCATGACTTGGAACTTGAGCCAAAAATCACGTTTCTTGTCTTGAATATGGGAAATAAGCACTTTCACTTTCAAGTCACTTCTTTTGGTCTTCCCTCAGCTAAACCTGCTGGAGATACCATAGGGATTGTCCAGGTCTTTTATTTGAGTTGGTAGGATTTTCAGGTAGTGTTACCATTTAAGTGATCTAAGTGCCAATTATCTTGGTGGAAAATTAGCTCTAATATTTTTGTAATTGATTACCGAAAGATGAATACAAGATATTTAAGATATCCTAGCAAAGTCAATATAGGATGCAGGACAAAAATCATTAAATATGTTCTGTATATATAGGACGCCTGGCAAGCTATCAATAAGGTATTTACCGCGTTTTACACATGAAAAGACTGAGGCTCGGTGGGATTAGGTTTCTTGTACAGGGCCCTGCAGTCCGAAACAGGTCAAGCAGAGATCTGCATGGTAAAAATCCTGGATCCTCTGGGACCCTATAAACTCCTAACGCCCATGCTCTGTGCCCGGCTGCACGCTCTCACTAAGCTGAGGTTGGCTAGGAATCCACTGGATGTTTGAAGGGAGGATGCGCTGTTGACTAGCAGGGAGTGAGGAAATAGCACCGAGACAGGCTAAGCGAGCCTGGGATCAAGAAGATGCTCCGGTCGCGGCGATGCTCCGGGACCGAGCTGCAAAAGAAGGATTTGCTGGGAGCGCAAGGCGGCTGAGAGGGGCGGGGCGAGCTAGCTCCCGCCCCTGGCCGCGTCCTTGTGCGTGGCTCGGGGCGCCGCAGAGAGCCCCACTCCACGATGCGGAGCCTGAGGACGGGGCAGAGCGGCGGCGTGGTAGCCCGCCCCCTGCGGACCCGAGCTCCAAACGTGCTGCCCGACCGCCTAGCGGCTTAAGGAGGGCCCCACCCTACGGCCGTGCGCCCGCCCCCCAACCCAGCCCCTCCCGACGCCCCCTTCCGAGCTCCTTGCGCCGCTCCGACTCCGCCCCCGCCCCAACGTGCCCCCGCGCGCCGCGCCCCCCGCCCACCCGGCACGCCCAGCCGCCCAGCCGCCCCGCCTGGCCGCAGCGGGCCTGCAGCTGGCCGGCGGGCCTGAGCGACCCTAGCAGCGGCGCTGTCCTCCTCCTCCGCCCGCCGCCATGGATGTGTACCCCCCGCACCGGCTGGGGCTGCCCCGCGCGCGGTTCCCTGGCGGCCCGGGCCGTGGGTCGCCCTCCGTCAGGTACGCGGGGCCGAAGCCGTAGAGGGGCGGCTGGGCCCGGGGTTACGGGTTGTTGGGGTCCCGCGACGCCTTTCGCCCCAGGGCGTGGTCCGACATGGCTTCCTTGCGGATGGTTTTTCCCTAAACGGCTCCCTGAGGCACGTTTCCCCAGGAACAGTGCTCTGTGTAGAGGCTCTCTCAATGGCTCCTTTATAGACAGCCCCACAACGGCTTCCCCGTGAAGACCCCCTACTGTGACATCCTCACCCCCATGATACGTTTCCCCCTGGAAAGATTCCGCTATAAAGAACTTCCACCGTGGCTTTTCTATGGATAACTCACTTGCCTCTTCCTCATTATGCTTATCCCAGAAATGGCTATCTATAGAGACCCCCACACACAATAGCCCCCTGTAAAGAACCCTCAAATGAATGTCCCTAGAAACGGCTTACCTATAATGCCCCACTACAGTAGGTCTCTAGAGCCTTTCCCCTTGACAGCGGCTTCCCTAAAGAGTACCCCTCCTCCCGCCCCCTACATTACACACACTGACAGCATCTCTCTCTTGCGCGTTTCCCCACCTCCTCCCGCCCCAGCTTCGCGTCGCTCCTTTACTCCGCAATGGGGAGCTCACTGGGGGGCAGTGGAGGTCATTAGGGACGCGGGAGAGAAAACTTACAGGATGGATAGGGAAAAGAGGCCCACCCCATGCCCTCGAAAGCGGCGCACCCCAACCCCCTGAGCCTAGAGACAGAGCCCCCCCACCGGGTGCCTCGGTATGGGAAACTGATATTGGGGAGGGTCACCGCCCCTTTTCGACTTGGGAAGATCCGTATCTGGTTTCTGTTCCCTGTGCCTTTGGGGCTGACCTTGATAGTCTGGGCATTGTTTGTGATTGTTATCGGGCCGCCACCGGAGTGTGGAGGTTGCAGTGTTGGAGGGGTTGCAGCAGAGACCGTTGAGAGAGAGAAAAATGGGCCCTGGTACTGCTAAACTGTTATTATACCAGAAGAGGGGGTTTTTGTTTGCTGTTTCTTTATTCTAGCCACTTGGCAAAGCAAGTATGGTATTGTTCCCTTGAAAGGAGGCTGTCAACTTGTATGTTAAAACGGCTTTTCCTATATCTTTGTTAATGGCACTTAGGACATTGTGTTTTAGCTTTTTGCTTGCTAATGTATTTTTTTGTTTTTTGTTTTTTTTTTTAACTAGACCAAATTCTTGAAGAACTAGATCTTAGAATTCTGTTCCTCTCTCAACTCCTTGGCATTCCTTCCCCCGCCCCAGCAACTAATGCATGTTTGTTGGATAAATAAAGGATGGGAGGAGGTGAGGCTAGATATCCTTGGTTGCATTTGGAAGTCCTAATTTGCTTTTAAACTGGCAGGTGCTATTGTTTGAACTCCTGCTTTGCCCTTCAATGAATTCCTTGTAGGCTTTACAGTTCCAAGTGTTTAGCTGCTTATGGTAACCATCTCCAGGCTGTCCTAACGTTTCAAGCCACCAGTTTCCCAGAAAGTATTTGAACTTTGTATAGAATAGAAACTGCACAAAATATTCTAGAACTTCGAGCAGCCATCCATTAAATCCAAGCTCTTTGTAGACTTGGGGTTCATCCCAGATCATCTTGAGCTTTGGAAACTTGGGTCTTTGAGATTTTTAGGGAAAAAAATGAACTTGCCAGTAAAATCCATGTCTAAAATTACTGCTGCCTTCCTTGTTTCTAGTAGCGTGACAGTGTGCAATTGTTTTCTGTTTTAAGTAGTGTTTCTACGTTAAAAAGATGAATGTTGGCTAACTTTACTAATCATAAATTCTGACTCTTCTGTCAAGTGATTTGAGTCAAATTTGATAGTTTTCAGACAAGGAGTAGTGCAGTGCAGGGACCCCAAGGCCTGGCTGCTCTTTATCTTCCGTTAAAGAAATTTAGTGCAGGTTCCCCTCCTTTTCTCATCTCTACATATCTGAACTTGCTTTTCTTGCCCATTCACGCCTTTCCCAGACTTTTGACATTGAACTTTTCTAGCAAGTTTTGGCTCAGCACTTCCAGTCACCCATATTTGGCTTCTATGCTGCAGTCTGACTCCTGAGTGATGAAAGAGGCAGGCCTAACTGGTGAAGTTACATTCCTGAAGACCCATAGATAGTACTTTGCAAGTGTGTGATTCTCTTCCCATAGTGGAGTTCATTTTCACAGATAGGAAATAGAGATCAGGAGTTAAAATACTGTTGCTTTGAACTGGAAGCTTATTTTGAAGGATGTGGTGGTAGTCATCAGTGCTGTCCATCAAGGATTTTTGGTTTCTTCTTTCTGGTCATGTGGTACAGTCATATTTGCCTGCCATTTTTAAAGTTGGGAATAACCTTGTGAGTTGCTTTTGGTCAGTAAAATGTGTGTAGGAATGATGTGTATCCTTTCAGGGTAAAAGCTTCTGGTGTGTAATTTTCTCTTTTTATTTCCCGGGGTGTGGGTGAAACAATAACATTTCCAGAGTTATCTAGCCTGGCTTTAGTGCATTTGCATATCCTCAGGGGTGGAGAGAAGTTCATCTTCATGTCAGTAGGTAATTTACCTGGGCAACCGGGGGTGTGTCTGAACCTGAGAACTTAAAGGGAGGGGCTGGCTGGCTTGCTGGCTTGCTTCTTCAGGAGCAGAGGAGAGAGCCAGCTCTGGACTGCAGTTTGTAAGCAATAAACGAGTTTTAAACTTTATTACTCCCTTTGACTGATTTCGGTTTTTAGAGGTGTATTGCCCCGGAATTTCCTCTCCCCATACTTACACCGGGTTATGATAACTCATGGTGCTATGACTCATGGGGCTCTAGATGATGGCTAAATCCATTAGTCTGGGATCAACCCAGATAACCTATGTTTGACAGAATGAGCAAGAAGTAAACCTGTCTTGTTTTAAGCCACTGAGATTTTGGATTTATTACCAAGAGTTGTATTAAGGAACCAGTGGAAATAGCTTAAATATGCTTTCTTACTTAAAAATCTTTTCCTGCAGAGAGATCTGCTTCTACTCAGGAGTTATTTATCAGTTAAATATCACTGCCTCTTTATACAAATAATCCAGCATACACTCTGCTGAGTGTTGTGGATTCAGGCAAATAAGGTAGGTTCCTGCCCTCAGAGAGCCCCTCTGTATGTGGAAAGTCACAAAAACAGTAAAAATTATAATACAGAGGGAAGAGAAGTAAGTAACTAAGGAAGAAATAGGGCTAAAGGAATAATAATAAGGGGAAGGCAAGTAAGTTGATTTGGGGCTCACCTGTTGGAAGAGTGGAGTTACCATTTACTGATATTAGGAATACTGGAATAAGAGCAGGTTTGTGGAGAAAATTTGGAGTTGCCAATAGATATCCAAGTGGAGATGTTCATTTGTGGTTGGGTATATTAATCTGGAGTTCGGAGAGAGATTGAACTGGAGATACCACCCATACACTGATGACTCCCAGGTTTTTATTTAAACTATGAGACTAGGTAGCAATCGAAGGACTAATGTAGATACAGAAGAGGACCAATATCAAAGCCCTATGGTATCCCATGTGAAAAAGACAGTGTAGTAATGTCTTTCAAATTCTGAGGGAAGATGATTTCCCACCTCTGAGATAGAAGAATCAAGGACAGTCATGGAAGGGCAAGTGATGAGTACTGTTGATAGGCTGATGAGGACTAAGAATAGACCATTAGATTTGGTACTGTGGAGGTCATTGGTGGCCCTAACAAGAACAGGTTTTTTAGTGCAGTGGATTCAAGAGAAAATAGGAGAGCACTTGAAAATGCTGAGTAGAGATAGTTATAATCATGTTGTTGCAGAGATTTTTTATAAGGGAGAGCAGAGTAATAAGGCTGTGGCTGGAAGAGTGTGAAGTGTTTGAGGTCTTTTTGTTTTTAGGTGGGTGGATATATAACCTGTTTGAAGTTGATGGGAATTATGGAGTACAGATTAAAACAAGAGAAGGGACAGTTGCAGGTATGAAGTCTTTTGAGTAGGTGAAAGGGCATGGGATCTGGCCATAAATATGGATTATAAATGGGTATATTGGCCTCATCTTGGGTAGGTGTTTGGGCAGTTTATCTGTGGCAATTATATGGACCCAAATACTGGTGTGTTGCTAAATGGGAGAAAGTGGAAGTTCTTTTCTGATTATTCACTTAAATAAGAAGGAAGGTCTGCAGCAAAAAATGAAGAAGGGTGGGGAAGGTGTTGGTAGTTGAGGAGAAAGAAGATTCATCAAGGAGAATGGAGAAAAATAAGTGGAATGAGGAAATGTTTGAGGTGTGCTAAGCAGCACCAAGTGCCCATGTAGTATTTGTTGTCATAAATTTAAGTTATGGCAGTTACAGTTACAACCAGTTAGCATAGTTGTATGCTTTTCCTGTAGCTCTGTTGAGCTGCTTGGTTGTGGGCACTGCCAAAGGTCATGGCTTAGGTAAACAGAGGACCTTACTGGAAGATAGGAATAAAGGAGCTGAGAGGTAAGGAAAGGGAAGGATTATCTCACTGCATATTGAGATTGTTATGAGTTAAGGTTGGAGTTGTAACAGCAAAAGAGACAGTGATCCAGAAGCTAAAATCTTTAGGGAGTGTGGAAGACTGAGTGACCTAGAGGTACAGAGATGTCTGTAACAAGGAGGAATAGTGGGTGGTTATTGTTTGAGGGTATGAAGAAATCATCCAAAATGAAATTAAATATCTCAAAACCAAAGAACATGAGTTTCCAGCTTAAAGGACTCTCCAAGAATCCAGCACAATTAATTTAAAAATATCCATGTTAAGGCACAGCATCATGAAATTTTTGAGAACTATAAGACAAAAGAATATCTACAGATCACATAGATTGGGTCAGAAATCATAGGATTGTAGCCAGACTGGAAATGAGAAGATAATGGAACAACCATTTCCTTCTGAAGGAAAATGGATTCCCACCCAGAATTCTGTATCCAACCAAACTCTCAAGCAGGCGTGAAGGAAAAATAAAGGCATTTCACACATACAAGATCTCAAAGCTTGACCTTCC